TCCAGCNAAAAAAAAAAAAAAAAAAAAAAAAAAAAAAAAAAAAAAAAAAAAAAAAAAAAAAAAAAAAAAGAATCCTCTTGGATTCTTAGGGATTATAAAAATCCTATTGGAATTCTGTTCCTGACCCTGAGGGGTGCTCACAGAAACTGTAGCTTAGAGAAACAACGTATGTGCAGTGTCACATGTTGAATGATTACTATTCAAAGATGATAACCATTGTTCATTTGTTCATTTTTTGTCTCTATTGGGAAAAGTATGCTTTTGCTTCCAATAACAATGCAGAATTTAGGTTTAAGGAAAGGTTCTCATTGACCCAAATTGTAGCTAGACAGCCAGGTGCGGTGGCTCATGCCTATAATCCCAGCACTTCAGGAGGCAGAGGTGGGTAGATCACTTGAGGCCAGGAGTTCAAGACCACCCTGGCCAACATGGCAAAACCCTGTCTCTACTAAAAATACAAAAATTAGCCAGGCATGGTGGCTCATGCCTGTAATCCCAGCTATTTAGGAAGCTGAGGCATGAGAAACACTTGAACCTAGAAGGCAGAGGTTGCAGTAAACTGAAATTGAACTATACATTCCAACCTGGGCAACAGAGCAAGATTCGATCTCAAAAAAATAAATAAATAAAAAATTTAGATAGACTAATGTAAACCACCTTGTTGGTAAGAGGATGAGAATTCTGGAGAATCCGTTCTTGTGTGTTTGGATCATCTTACTAGTGGTCTTGCTTAGAAATTAGTGACTTGAGCCGGGCACGGTGGCTTACGCCTGTAATCCCAGCACTTTGGGAGGCAGAGGCAGTTGGATCATGAGGTCAGGAGATCGACACCATTCTGGCCAACGTGATGAAACCCCGTCTCTACTAAAAATATAAGAAAATTAGCTGGGTGTGGTGGCATGTGCCTATAATCCCAGCTTCTTGGGAGGCGGAGGCAGGAGAATTGCTTGAATCAGGGATTCAGAGGTTGCAGTGAGCCGAGATGGCGCCACTGCACTCCAGCCGGCAACAGAGTGAGACTCCATCTCAAAAAAAAACAAAAAGCTGGAAGGCGGGAGAAATGGGTTACTTGTGGGGGCCACATGCAGTGGCTCATGCCTGTAATCCCAGCACTTGGAGAGGCCAAGGCAGGAAGATCACTTGAGGTCAGGTGTTCAAGACTAGCCTGGCCAACATGGTAAAATCCTGCCTCTACTAAAAATACAAAAGTTAGCCGGCCGTGGTGGCACATGCCTGTAATCCCAGCTACATGGGAAGCTGAGGCAGGAGAATCGCTTGAACCCTGGAGAGGCAGAGGTTGCAGTGAGCCAAGGTCACGTCGCTGCACACCATCCTGGGCAACAGAGCCAGATTCCACCTGAAGAAAAGAAATGGGTGACTTGGATAATTGACTACGTTTTTTAAGGCTCTCTCCAGCTCTCGTACTATGTCTATTCACCCATCCAGCACCAACAGCAGTGGGAGGAGATGACTTATTTCCTCCAGTGCTACTTAGAAATGGTAGTTTCCCCTTCCTTCCTTCAAGGACTTTCTACCTACCTGTCTAATTTAAGCACAAAGGGCAAGGCTGGCTCAGGGCTAAGTTGTGTCCTAAACCCTTTCTGAGAGTATGTAGATAACATATATCCTACTTTGTTCCCCATCAGGAATTCTCTTGGTATCCAACAGCATTAGCAATATCAGTCTGAAAAGGAAAAACAAGTGGTGATGAGGAATGGGAAGGAAGGCAGCATCTGGGCAGGAGGAGAATGAGAGGCAATGGAACCATGGATGAAAGAAAGATTTGTAGAATTGACAGCTCTGTAGTAAGTGTGGAGCTGTCTTGAGGGAGTGTAACTCTCGTGAATGAGAAGTGCAGGCTGTAGTCCCAGTGACTGTGACTAGCACCCACTGGCATCCCACATAGGATGAGGGTAATGTGTGGGCAGAAGTGTGGAAGGAGTTTCTGTGAGAGAAGCAAACAGAATGTGAGAGGGAAAGTTGTGTACCTTTTGGGGACTGTCACACTACTTTGTGGCCTAAGTCCCTGTGTAGTATTTTAAACTCGTTTTTTAATACCATCCACTCAACTAGTTGTTTTTGAGCCTTTGGGGACAATTAAAACTTTCTATAAAATGTTTAGGGATCTTTGATCTAGAACGACAAGGACTAAGATCAAGGCTTGGTGGCCCTGGAGCAATGCCCAGAAACCTGAACAGGAATGTAGTGACGAGTCCCTGGGGAGGAGTACAGGTGCTTATCTGAATGTCAGAACTCGAGTTCCAGACCTGCCTGTGACCTTGGAAAAGCACATTGCCGTTTTTGAGTACAAAGAATGAAGGACAACTTTTACCTTCTGTGGTTTTTATGAGGTTAATGAAAAATACAGGCATGCTTAATAATTACAATTCTGATCTTGAATTTCTCTTCTCTATCTCACCCTTACTGTCCTTCTTCCGGATATTGGCTTGCTTTTGAGAAATACAAATAACATTTTCACTCTAGCTCAAGCTAGACCTATTTGGGGTGGTAAGGGTGTCATTTATTTTATTTTGTATGTTTGTTTTGAGATGGAGTTTTGCTCTTGTTGCCCAGGCTGGAGTGCAATGGTGCGATCTTGGCTCACTGCAACTTCCACCTCCGGGATTCAAGCGATTCTCTTGCCTCAGCCTTCCAAGTAGCTGAGATTACAGACATGTGCCCCCATGCCCAGCTATTTTTTTGTATTTTTAGTAGAGACGAGGTTTCTCCATGTTGGCTAGGCTGGTCTTGAACTTCCGAACTCAGGTGATCTAGCCACCTCAGCCTCCCAAAGTGCTGGGATTACAGGTGTGAGCCACCGCGCCTGGCCCAGGTGTCATATTTTTAAGCAAAGGTTATTTTGCCTGCTGTTCAGGACCGCCTGTGCTGTTGGGCCTTCCTGCTCCTGTGGCTCAGAAGTTGAGCTTGCATTTTACATGGGCTTAAAGCTGCTTTCTCAAGGATCAGCCACCCAGACTTGAATCTTCCATCCCCCTTGTCTCCTTTCCCCCTACAGGACCCTTTTGGAGAGAAGCGGGGCCACTTTGACTACCAGTCCCTCTTGATGCGCCTGGGACTGATTCGTCAGAAAGTGCTAGAAAGGCTCCATAATGAGAACGCAGAAATGGACTCTGATAGCAGCTCATCTGGGACAGAGACAGACCTTCACGGGAGCCTGAGGGTTTAGACCCTGCTCCCCTCTTCCCTTTCCCCCACCCGAGAGTCCCAGCAGAATCCCTTCCCCTAACCCCAGAGATGGAGAGGCACTGTGTATCTCCCTCCAGACTCGAAGTCATCCTGCAAGATGGCAAGAACCAAGCAAGCTCGGACCCCAGGGTGTGGGAGTGGGGGCCTGTTCCCGGGCTGACCTCCTTGGCACTGGAGCATCTGGGGCTATGTTCATCCGTTCATCCCATATCGGGGCCAAGGTACCTTTACAGGAGCACCTAGTGGAAGGGCCTCTGGCAAAAACGAAACAAACAACACACCTCTCCACAGGACCAGCTCCTTAGGGATAGGTGGAAGACGGAAATTGCAATTCCAAGAGGGAGTGTGCCCAAATGATTTATGGGAATACCTGGAAGGGAACTTGGGGTGGGGGACTGTCTGTGACACTTAAGCAGTCTGGGTGGTTGTCTATTTGTCTGTCTTCAGTCTTGAAGCAGGGCTTCCCAATGCCCTTTTCCTCCTTGCCTCCCTTCCCTATTATTTCCCACAGGCCAGCATAATTTTGTTTTTCCTAATTTATAGTCACTGTTCTAGACAGACCAAAGAGAAGGAACAGTGGTGGAGTCTAGGCTGCTGATCAGTAAGCTTTACCTAGCACCTAAGCACCTTTCTCCCCTGCCCCCTTTCCTCACCCTTTCTAGATGTAAGACAAAAGGTAATTGTGACTGGGACTGAACCAAGGTCTTGGTAAAGCCTGCACAGGCACTGTAAGAAGCTGAAAATACTGTTTGTTCCCACAATCACTGATTTGAAAAGTTCCCGGCACAGGCAGCTGCTGTGTATATGGGATTAGAGCCACTACATAGAATAGTCTGTTACAGATTTTCATAAATACTAGTCACAATGAGGGTATTTCTCTTGGGGATGGAGCACAGGGAGAGACTGATGCTAGTCCTTATTGTATTTTGTTGGGCTGTCCTTGTGTATTTCCACCCCAGCCTGTCGTCGTCCTCCTTACTTCAACCCCAGGGATTTGTGGGGAGCAAGGGTAGCCAATGCAGAGGGGATTGGGGCTGGACTCTGGAGGCTCCTCCCCTTCTTTCTCCTCCTTCACCACCCCAACCCCGTTCCCCCAGCTGCTCTTGTCACTGGCTCCGATGGGTGTTTGCCTGGCTGTGTTGCTTCTCTATCTGTATTTAGCTGCAGTGATCCTTTAGCTGGTTGGCTCAGAAAAAATGTGCTTTAGGTGCCCTGTGATCCTGGGCATCAAGGGAATCATCCTTCCCCTTTTTGATATGTTCTTCCCATACTTCCAGATTTATTGCTACGGATCCCAGTGGGGTATTGGCAATTCTTATGATGCAGGGCCTCGGTCAAGGTCCAGCCACGCATAAGGGAGAGGATCCTATGTACGTGCCCTACCCGCTGCTATGAAGTCTCTGCCTTCTGGATCATGGGACTCCTCTTGGAGGATCTGGGTTGGGCAGAAAGGAGAATGTCCTACTTGGGAGAGCAGGAAGAAAAGGAACTGGACAGGGAGTGGTGGGCTTGGGGAACGGAAGTTTACCTTGGATACCCTTGAAGAGGCTGGGTCTCTCACATGAAGATTCAAAAGGGACCCTGCTTCCAATTTCCCTCTTCCATTCCTCGAGTGACTCCAGGGCTTAGAAGAATGCCCTTGGGTCTGTGGGTCCAGTGTTGTCTGTCATCCATTTAAGTGTTCCCACTTTCAAGTGACAATCCTCTCCTTGGCCCTGCCATAGGGCAGAACATGTCTGGCATAGCAGCCTGACTTTTATGCCCTAATCTTGAGTTGAGGAAATATATGCACAGGAGTCAAAGAGATGTCTTTATATCTGACTGTACATAAATGAAGTTTTTTTTTTCTTTTTGGTGCAATAAAATTTGTTTTGGCAGAAGAGGAAGTGCCTGTGGGTGTGGGTGGGTTTGTGTAAAGGAGGAATGGGTCTTGTTAACCACACCTCACCTAGGTCTGGAACTGTTAGGGGGAAGGAAAGTGCTGTGAATTGTCTGAGGCCAAAGACTTGCATAACATGATGGAAGGACAGGGCTGGGTGGGGAGAGCAGGACAAATTTTCTCATTGGAGATGGGGTCCATTTTTTAAGGCTCTGGCAGTCAGTGCCATCTTAAATTTCAGTAGTTTCCAAAGAACTATTCCGGAGCTTGGGAGAGGAAGCGTGTCCTATAAGGACAGGCAGAGGTAGAGCTGGGACCAGACTATATATCCTGCTAAAGGAAGGGTCTCAATATGGAGAAACCACTGGGTTTTCAGAGTTCCAGTACTAAACTAGCACTTAGGATCTTAGCCTTTAGACCATATGGGGTTTAGAAGCCTTAAACTACCCTGGCCTCTTCCCTCATCAACACCTCCACTTGCTATAGGAGATTCTTGCTTTCTGGTACAGAGGCTTTTCCTCTTGGCTGACCATGTGTGTAGAAAGAAATGTCTCTGCACAGTATGTGCTGCCATTCTGTACTGTGCAGTGATACATGAAGGCATGGGCTTGGTTAATAGGCCTAGGCTCCAGCTTTGGCTCAGCTGAAGCCTAGCAAATTACTTCGATTCAATCACCTGTGACGTTGAAGGCTGCCTACTTGGTAAAATTTAAGTGAGCTGTATATAAAATGGCACAGGGTGGGCATTCGATAAATGACTCCCTTTCCCATCACTGAGGTTAGACCTGGTAATCAGTATAGGAAGGTGAGGCGGCTAGTAGGGAATTTAAGAAAATAGAACACGCCTTAACTGTTGTTTGATTCCCCTCAGTTCCATTGTTTTCTTTCCTCCAAATTAGCCACAAATGAACACTGACTTCTATTTCCTTCACACTCACACACACCTGAGTTTGTCATAACCTAGAGCCTCTACAGAGGACGCCGGAAGAGACTGAAAGAGTGAATATTACTTACTGGTCCATTAGGACCAGCTAGTTTGAGATAAGGAATATTTTATTAAAAAGGTTTAAATTAGCAGAGGCTGTAATTTATGTCTCGCAGCTACGACTAAAAAGGCCAAGAAACGCCTGCATTCTAGGGCCAGCTCTTCGATGAACTTGCAGATGACCTACACAAATCATTTTATATGTGCTTGCTGTTCTCTGTTAAACAGATAATCCTTACTGGATGAGCAGGGTTTTTTCCAATAAAGATGCAATATGAAGGCACTTTTCAAAAATAAAAGAATGGGGGAAGTAAGAAAAACTTGGAACTTTTTCTATTTTTTTATAAACAAAACTGCCCAGGTTTATTCGCCAGTAGGCCCTCCTTCCTTCTCCACACCTATTGCTGTGTGTCCTTCCACACAGTCAGGGAAGGGCTTCTCTGGCCTCCTCAGCTGTAATCTCCTGGGAGTAGAGGTCAGTAAAGAGAGCTGGCAGCCAGTAGTGGGCCTCCCCTGGTGCCTGCAAGTCCAGCCACGCCAGCCCTTCCTTCAGCAGGTGTTCCTGGAGGGGAAAAGGAAGAACAGTTTGAGAACAGGGAGGTCCCATAGATGAGGGTACGGTAAGTAAGCAACCTCCAAACCTATTTTGGCTTTAGTGAGGTTTTCAAACTAAATCTACTAAGTGCCTTCAAACATTTACACAACCAAGTAAATGAGCTGTTTGGCCCTGTCCTTTGCCTGAATGTGAAAAATGTTACTAAGTCACCTAACTTGTGCTGCTGAGGAAGAGGGGTAAAGCCTAGCATAGTGGGATATAGTGGAAAAGAACACATGGCTACAGAAATATTTGCTGTATGGCCTTGAGCAAATCGCTGCCTCCATTTTCCCAGAAACAATACAGAGATCACTGTTTAGCTACCTCTCAGTTAACTTATACTGTGTAGCAGACATGATTGATTGACCATACTTATGCAAGAATAGACTCAGTTTCTAGAGCTGGAAATGTGTTCAAATGGGTTGGTTCTGTCCAATATAGGTAGGTAATTACATTATACCCATTTTACAGATGAACGGTTTAGACAGTGGAATTGCTTGGATAAGGAAAAAGGGTAGGGCTGGGCGTGGTGGCTCACATCTGTCATCCCAGCACTTGGGAGGCCTAGGTGGATCACCTGGGGTCAGGAGTTCAAGACCAGCCTGGCCATCATGGTGAAAACGCATCTTAAAAAAAAAAAAAATGGAAAAAGGGTACTGAAGCCGAAGTTCTTACATTCTTATGTTACTCCCTCTTCACATCATTCATTCTTCAGTACCATGAAATTTGTATATATAAAGCTATAGAGTTGCCGGGCGCGGTGGCTCAAGCCTGTAATCCCAGCACTTTGGGAGGCCAAGGCGGGTGGATCACGAGGTCAAGAGATCGAGACCATCCTGGTCAACATGGTGAAACCCCGTCTCTACTAAAAATACAAAAAATTAGCTGGGCATGGTGGCACGTGCCTGTAGTCCCAGCTGCTTGGGAGGCTGAGGCAGGAGAATTGCCTGAACTGGGGAGGCGGAGGTTGCGGTGAGCCGAGATCGCGCCATTGCACTCCAGCCTGGGTAACGAGTGAAACTTCTTTGTCTCCCCAAAAAAAAAAAAAAAAAAAAAAAAAAAAAAGCTATAGAGTATATTGTATGCAATATAATGCTAAGTGGATAATTACATAATTAACATAAGTAGTTAATAATTCCCATCACTGTATTAACAGTGTTACTTCCAGTACAAACTACATTAATCTGACCAGCAACTCCAGGCTCAGCATGTTCAGGAGAGAGAGTGGGTGTCGGTTCCCCAATTAGCAGGGGCAGCCTGCAATTGTGTGCACACCAGAGTTAGGAACCTGCCTTCCTGAGTTCTACCTTCTTCAGAAGGTGCCATCTTCAGAAAAGTGCTGGGCTTCCTTCTAGCATGGCAGCAGTAGCCTTCAAGACAGAAGGCCAGCAAAGCAGGCTGAAGCTCCTGCCTTTGTGAAACCCACATCCTCCTAACTGGGGCCTGCCTTTGTGGAACACACATCCTCCCAACTTGGGCCTGTCTTTTTGGGTGATTCCACGGTCGCATACCAGCACTTGCCGCGCTCGCTCGGTCTCCCATTTAAGACTGGCTTTGATCTCACTGACAGTCACGTAGCCATTTTTCTGAAGAAAGGAGGAATGGGGATTCAATCAGTTAAGAGTGCACCTTCCCTTAGAACCCAGCATCTGCCCAGGAACAATAGACTTATCCAGACAGGAGGAAAAGCTGTCAAGCCTGAGAGAAAACAGACATGTTTAAAGATTCCAGCTAAGACAGAGGTGACTTTCAGCATGACAGAGGTAGGTTGATCTTAAAAGTGGGGTCCTGGCCAGGCATGGTGGCTCATGCCTGTAATCCCAGCACTTTGGGAGGCCGAGGTGGGTGGATCACCTGAGATCAGGAGTTCGAGACCAGCCTGGCCAACATGGTGAAACCCCATCTCTACTAAAAATACAAAGCCTGTAATCACAGCTCCCCAGGAGGCTGAGGCAAGAGAATCGCTGGAACATGGGAGGCGGAGGCTGCAGTGACCCAGAGATGATGCCACTGCACTCCACCCTGGGCAACAGAGCGAGACTCCAACTCAAAAAAAAAAAAAAAAAAAAAGAATTTTAGACTTCTGCAAAGAACTCTAGGGCATGACAAGGGAAGATTCTGAAAAATTAGCTGATAGGAAGAAATGGCGATAGTCATAAACTGCTAATAATCTCCATTATTTGAATATTCAGCCCTTGCCCTGCCTTATTCTACCCATCCCCCAATACAGACAGAAATGCCCCTTCCTTATTTAGTTCTGTTTTATATTAAGAAAACTGGGCAGGGTGCAGTGGCTCATGCTTGTAATCCCAGCACTTTGGGAAGCTGAAGCATGTGTATCACCTGAGGTCAGGTGTTCAAGACCAGCCTGACCAACATGGAAAAGCCCGGTCTCTACTAAAAACACAAAATTAGCTGGGCGAGTGGCGTGCTCCTGTAATCCTAGCTACTCAGGAGGCTAAGGCAGGAGAATCACTTGACCCTGGGAGGCAGAGGTTGCAGTGACCCGAGATCGTGCCATTGCACTCCAGCCTGGGCAACAAGAGTGAAACTCAGTCTCAAAAAAATAAATAAAACTGAGTATGTCTACCCTAAATACCTGATGGGGATTTGGGGGAAGACAGCATATGCTTAAGGCATGCTGACAGATGGGGGCATGTCAAACAAGATTTTTTTAAATCTGTTTTTGAAGAATCCATAAAGTAGTTTCAGAAGACATTCAAGTCTGGCTACCCAAAGAAATGTAGTTTGTTGTCTGCATGTCTGTCTGCCTGACTAGACTGTAAGCTCCTTGAGGGCAGGAATTATACCCATCTTTATATGCCCCACAGCCTGGCCCAGTGCTTTGCACTGTAGCTGCTCAATAAATGTCTGCTGAACAAGCACAGGCCTGAGTAGTTAATCCATTAGATAGCCTCAGCAAAAGACCTGCATTAACAGGGAGCAGGAGCTCAGAACTGCTCCAGACTCACATCCCAGACAGTCCCTTGCACATACACACACACACACGCGCTCAGAAGGTGCACCAGTACCTCTGCCAGCTGCAGCACCACAGTATGATCCATATTGAGCTCAGCTGGAACAGACTGAATGAGGTAAGTGCCGCCCACAGGGATGATGCAGAAGCCAGTCCCAAGTGCCTTTAGTTTCTTGATGGCCCTGATCAGGTCGTCTCTGAGGTGAGGAAGAGTTGCTTAAAGACCCTTGACAAATCAGATCTAATTACACAGTTTCAGCTCTGCCCTGGGCAGGATACTGACAGAAGATTTAAAAGACTGCACAACTATACTGTGGCTCATACCCATAATCCCAACACTTTGGGATGCCCACGTGAGAGGACGGCTTGAGCCCAGGGGTTAGACACCAGCCTAGGCAATACAGCAAGACTTTGTCTTTACTAAAAATAAAAAATAAAAAAATAAACTATCAGGGCATGGTGGCAATCGCCTATAGTCCTTGGGAGGCTGAGGTGGGAGGATCACTTGAGCTCAGGAGTTCCAGGCTGCAGTGAGCTATGACTGTGCACCACTGTATTCCAGCCTGGGTGATAGAGCAAGACCCTGCCTCTAAAATAATGAAAGGCTGCACCACACTCAACTACATCAGTAAAAAGACAGGGTCAAGGAGCAGTAAGTGGTGCTTGGACAATCAAGGGAGATATACAGGAGTCAGGTTCTCCACTCAGCAAACCACTCATTCCAACACCCCGACAGAGGTCAAAGACACACCTGCAGAAGCCCATCAGGAAATGTGAATGAGTGAGCTAAAGAGGCAATGGGGTAGTGTGACCTGTGGCAAACTAGAGAATGCTTATCTTTTTTAAAGGGGGCAACACAGCTGATTATCACCATCTGGAAATTCAGGCCCAATATTGCCAAGTTTTCTGATTCTAACTAAAATCAGAGAAAAAGAAAACCTACAAAACAGTGTGTAGATCACATATCCAGCCCACACAGAGTTTAAAACCTCTGCCAAAGCTCAAAAATATATCACCCAAAAAACAAGGAAAAGGGCACTTTTAGGTAGATTGGAATGCATTCTCCAGCCTCCAAAAATAGCAAACTGAAATGCTTCAAATGCTCACCCTCTTCATGAGAATAATTTGCAATAAGTATGGTTAGTAATCTTTTGTTACCCTTTTTTTTTTTTTTTTTTTTTTTAAAGAGATGATGTCTTGGCTGGGCGAGGTGGCTCACACCTGTAATCCCAGCACTTTGGGAGGCCAAGAGTTCTAGACCAGCCTGGCCAACATGGTGAAACCCCATCTCTACTAAAAATACAAGAACTAGCAGGGCATGGTGGCAGGTACTTGTAATCCCAGCTACTCGGGAGGCTGAGGCAGGAGAATCACATGAACCCAGGAGACGGAGGTTGCAGTGAGCCAAAATCATGCCACTGCACTCCAGCCTGGGCGACAGAGCGAGACTCAGTCTCAAAAAAATTAAAAAAAAGAAGTAGAGATCTTGCTCTATGTCCCAGGCTGGAGTACAGTGGTGCAATCATAGTTCACCGCAGCCTAGAACTATGAGTGCATGCCTCAACACCCAACTAATTTTATTTTTTGTAGAGACGAGATCTCACTACATTGCCCAGGCTGGTCCTGAACTCCTGCCCTCAAGAGATCCACCTCAGCCTCCCAAAGGGCTGGAATTACAGGTGTAAGCTGCTGTGCCCAGCTTCATTATTTTTCTTTGAATATTCTAGTCTTTACGATCTCATAGTAGGCTGACTCCTTGGAAGTTACATCAAAAACAGCTTTTTATCTTTTCTCAAACTGGACTGACATACAGAGGCTGGCGAACTAGATCGATTTATATTCCATCATCTCACCACCACCTCCTTCCCCAACCTTTCTAGTCTAGTCTCCTACGCTAGTCTCCTTGGCCCCAAATCTCAAGACTACATGCGGCTGCAGCCAGGCATGGTGACTCACACCTGTAATCCCAGCACTTTGGAAAGCTGAGGTGGGCAGATCACTTGAGGCCAGGAGTTCAAAACAGCCTGGCCAACATGGTGAAACCCCATCTCTACTAATACAAAAATTAGCTGGGCGTGGTGGCGCATGCCTGTAATCACAGTTACTGCAGAGGCTGAGGCACGAGAATTGCTCAAACCTGAAAGGCAGAGGTTGCAGTGAGCTGAGAGCGGGTCACTGCACTCCACCTTGTGTGACAGCGAGACTCCGTCTCAAAAAAAAATAAAAATAAAAATAAAAATAAAAAAATAAAAAAATAAAAAAAAAACCACTATATATAGCCCCAAGTTTGTTAAAAAATAATACCTAAAAAAATGCTTAGTCGGTTCGGATCCGAGTCACTGCACCAAAAGAAAAGAAGAAGAAGAAAAAAAAGAAAAAATGCTTAGAAGGAACTATATTAAAATATATAGCAGTTGCAATATCTTAGTAGAAAAATAACGGATGGTTTTTGCTTTTTTTTTTATATCTCTATATTTTCTGTTTTCTAAAAATAGCCAGGCATACTAGTCCATGCCTATAATCCCAGATACTTGGGAGGCTGAGATGGGAGGATTACTTGAGCCCAAGAGTTTGAAGCTGCAGTAAGCTACAAGCACGGTAGCAGTAAGCTAGGATCGTGCCACAGTACTCTAGCGCGGTCAACAGTGAGACCTCGCCTTTTAAACATATATATATATTTTTTTGTTTGTTTGTTTGTTTTTTCCCTTTTGAGACAGAGTCTCGCTCTGTCACCAGGCTGGAGTGCAGTGGCGCAATCTCAGCTCACTGCAACCTCCATCTCCCAGGTTCAAGCAATTCTCCTGCCTCAGCCTCCCAGTTAGCTGTGTCTACAGGCATGTGCCACCATGCCCAATTAATTTTTTTTTTTTTATTTTTAGTAGAGATGGGGTTTCACCATGTTGGCCAGGATGGTCTTGATCTCTTGCCCTCGTGATCCACCTGCCTCAGCCTCCCTAAGTGCTGGGATTACAGGCATGAGCCACCAGGCCCAGCCTGTTTTTTTTTTTTCTGTATGATACAGACCATACAGATTTCAAAGCTAGCCTAAACATGAGGAATAGGGAGAAAAGAGTTACATCTGAATTATAAAGACCTCTTTCTATACTCCAAGGGATTGGAAGACAAGACCTACTGACTGACATCCTGGGCGAACTTGCCCCTTCCCTTCAACACCTGTTGATGTAGTTCCTCCAGAGTTATCAGACCTATTGGAGATGGGGAACAGAATCAGACAAAGAGATTACCCACTTTAAATAAGTGGACAGTTACATTCCAGCGGCCTATGACTAGCAAATAACATTGTAGTTCCTAATTTTTTTTAACTCTTTCCTTATGAAATAACTGGCCATAATATGATAAATGGATTCTGAGACCTTGCTAGGCCTGTCGAGAGTGAGAGTTATAGAAATCTAAAAGCAAAAGCAGTATGATCTTTGAAAAACTATAAATGTCCTCTTGACAACAAGGCCGTGTCTATTTATAGTGGATGACTTATAAGTGGTTTTAGGTTTTCTTTCTGTAACTTCAATCCACACCATTTAATGTGCTTATAAGAAAGATGGCATCACCAGATGACCACTTTTTTTTTTTTTTTTTTTTTTTTTTTTTTTTTTTT